CCTTGTTCCCTTCACATTTGAACACTTTTTTCCCATTTTCCAACATCCCTTATATATTTCGATCCTTATTTCCACTTTCGGTTTCTCACACCAGAGAAACAATGGGGTATTTAAACACGTGTGTCTGATTTATTTCACTTAAGAGTATGGTCTCAAGGTCCATCCATTTAGCTAAAATGTCTGAAGCTCATCCTTTATGGAAGAGTAGTACTCCATGATATAAAAAAACCACTCCACCATCTTTATCCACTCGTCGGTTGATGGGCATTTGGGCTGTTTCCAAGATTTAGCTATTACAAACTGTGCCACTATAAACGTGGATGTGCATATGTCGCTGTGGTATGGTGCTTTTAATTCTTTTAGGAAGGTACCAAGAAGAGGTATAGCTGGGTCAAATGGAACCTCTAGTTTTAGTTTTTTGAGAAATCTCCACACTGATTTCCATAGTAGTTGCACCAGTCTACACTCCCACCAATAGTGGAGAAGGGTTCCTTTTTCCCACAGCCCCTCCAGCATTTGTTATTGGTTGATTTCTTGATAGCAGCCATTCTTTCTGGAGTGAGGTGGAATCTCAGCATTGTTTTAATTTTCATTTCATGAATGACCAGTGATGTTTAACATTTTTTCATATATTTATTTGCTGTTTCTAATTCTTCATTGAGAAGTGCCTGTTCATTTCAGATGCCCATTTTTTGGATTGGGTCTTTAAATTTGGGGGCTCTGGTTTTTTTCAGTTCTTTATATATTCTAGATATAGTCCTTTATCTGAGGAATAGCTGGCAAAATTTTTTTCCCACATTGTGGGCTGTCTCTTCACTCTGTTGGTGGTTTCTCTTGCTGTGCAAAAGCTTTTTAATAAAATGAGATCCCAGTTGTTGACTCTTTGTGATAGTTTTTGTGCAATTTGGGGTTTCATTCATAAAGTTTTGCCTACACCAATGTCTTTGAGAGTTCTACCTATTCTATAGTCTACCAGATTTAGTGTTTCTGTTTTAATATTTAGATCTTTGATCCATTTCAATTTTAGGTTAATGCATGGTGAAAGATTGGGTCTAGTTTCATTCTTTGGCATGCAGAAAGCCAGTTTTTCACCACCATTTATTAAATAGAGTATCTTCCAGTGAAGGTGTAAAACTCAATTTCTTAAATAATCAAAAACATTTTAATATCTTAAGAAAACCTTATTGTTTTAGACATAGAAAACTTAAACCTTTTAATTACAGCCAACTTAATTATATATATATATCTATAATAATTTTTAACATTTGTCGGGGTAGGGCTTAATAAGACTCTGGGGAAAAACTTAAGCTACCCATCAGTGGAGAAAACTTATGCAAATTGGTTCAGGCAGCTGCTTTTTCAGCCACCAAGGGGAATTTTGTCTAGTAGTTCCTCAGGCACAAGGGCCCTCCTTATTTATTTAACAGTTACCTTAGATGACTCATGAGAACAAAAGGATAGCAGTTAATACTCTAAGCTATAATAGGTTATCTTTAACCTAGGAAAACTCTGACGTATACACAGAAAACAATAGACCTTGTACTTTTAAAACCAGTCTTTTAAGATATTATCTTCATTGGCTAACAACCTAGACAAAAAAATGTCACCAGCTTGTAAAGACATTTTTACTTTTATCAACCAATTTAAATTAGCTCACCGTTAAGCCATGCGAACCAAAAACATTAGGGCTAATATCATGAGTGTCTATTTGTGTATAAGCCAACTAAAATAGAACATAAATCTGAAAACATGTAGAAACGCTCACATTAGCCTAATCATATATAACCTTTCAAACTTTAAGGTTTTAACCTATACTCCTCATTTAAACCTTAAGCCTAGCAATTTTTTTAACCTTCTAATTTTTTAGGTGAGTTTGGCTATCCCCAAAACCTATACACTAGTTTTCTATGGAAAATCTGAAATAAGCCAGAAGTTTATAAGGACAAAAGGAAAAAAGAAAAAGGAAATTGATATAACCTCAAAAATCTTTAATGAAGCAGCTGCAAGTATTTTAACCAGTTATTAAAACTGATTAAACAGGCAGATGAGCAAACAAGAAAACAAATAGGACATATAAAGCAATCACTTCTAAATTAGAGTGCACTCTTATATGTATTGGCTATGCCGAATTATAATAACCCTTTTTATAGGTTTATGTTTATATCTATAAATAGACTAATCAGAACTTTTCCTAGGGAGTATCATAGCATTTTTTTAGGTGAATGATAACAGAGATCTCGTGTAATAAATTACATTAATAAGAGTCAGAAGAGGGAGAGAGACAAAAGCTATAAAAATTGTTAGAATCTTTATTTATTGTCCACCCTTATTATAAAACTAAGTTTGAGACCTTGTCTCTTTTATACCTGTGAAAGTAAGGACTGTTTTAAGAAAGATCTGGCCCGAAGAGGCCATCTTCCCTGGACTGTATACCTTAATCTGAAATAGCTGTAATCATAGTACAGGCTCTTTTGGGCCCTCTGTATTAGTTACTGGGCCAGTGATGGCAAAGCTTTTAGAGACAGAGTGCCAAGTGTAACCCCAAATCCACTTATTTATTGCAAAGTGCAACACTGTAATTAAACCTGAATACTGAGGTTTTAGTTTAGAAAAAACAGCTCTACGTTAACATCTTTTGTCTCAAAAGAAAAACACAGTAACATGAGTGCCATAGGTTCAGGCCACCACTGTACCTGCAGATCACCACAGCTGTTTCTTATGTAAATATTTCCTCCAAAGGCACAGACTTGTTAAAGGTACAGTGTTGTAATTTATATATTTCTCCGGCAACCACCTTTTCTCCCTTTTTTTTTTTTTTTAAGAGTTGAAGATCGAATGTAGACCAGTTTTGGTATTTTGTTTGTTTTTCAGTACATGTTTGCAGTACATAATGTTCACATTCCTTGTGGGGAGTTGGTACACCTATGTAACTCATCTTACTTCCTTTTTTCACCTCCTTGTCTTCCCCTACCTCCCCCTCTATCTCATGATCCCCTTCCTATTTGAGAAATGTGTATCTTTTTACTTCTTATCATCTAACTTTATTTTGCCTTTTATTTATATTTTGGGTTTCTCATATGAGAGAAACCATGTAATATTTAAGCTTGTGTGTCTGAATGATTTCATTTAACATTATGGGGACCAGTTTTTAAAAATACATCCTAGGAGGGCCGGAGATTTAGCTCAGTGCTGCCTGCCCTGCAAGCGCAAGGACTAGAGTTCAATCCCTGGTACCAAAAAAAAAAAAACAAACAGACACACACACACACACACACACACACACACATATCCTAGGAGGAGTAAGTCAGAGGCAACAGGAAACATGAGACCCACTGTGGGTCCTATGGAGATGTTATATGTATTCAAAGTGTCCATTAGGGTGACAAACCTCTTGTCCCAGGGGGACACATGAAATATACATCTCCTTTGAGGCATCCTCCAAACTGGGATTCTACCAACCCACAAAAGTGAAGGTCAGCTTCACTCTAAGGTCATCTTGGCTGGGGCTGCTGTCTGACTGATCAGGTCAGATGAGCTAGCAAGACAACTAGTGAGGCACTTGGAAGGGCAAGCTCACCATCCTGGAGAGATGGAAAACTTGGTCATTCAAGAGTCCAGCAGCCATGAGGAAGGGGTCAGCACAGATTTACCCTGGATGAGCTGCCACTGCCAACTGTGTTGTGTGTTGAGAGGGGAATCCCAAAAGAAGAAAAGGTGGCCCACTGTGAGTTGCTCTGGCCGGGACTGTCAGTTGTAAGCAGAAAGCAAGGCTTTCTGGCTAGGGCTGAAAAGAACTCTTTAGCTTGTATCTGACAGGCTGTGGCAGTTGGGGTCACAACCCTGTGGCCCTTGGGTCCCTAAATTTTGTTCTGTCAATGAAATTATCTGTGCTGTAATGGCCTCACCTCAAAAATACCAATTAGTCCACCCTACCCAGGCATTAATTCTCAGGGGAGGTACAGGGTAGAAGGAATAGGAGAGTGAGTGCCTAATGTGACAGTAGTTTTCTGTGTAACACAAAGGAACTTTACCTACAGGAAAGAAACATAGCCTATCTAATAAATAAAACCTCCTAGATATAATCATAGTTAAATGGAGGGAAAAAAAGGAAAAAGTTAAACATTCCCATCTCTTACTTCTGTCTATCTCAGTTTGCTGGATTCAAAGTCCAGGGTGCTTCTGGTGAGACCTCCAAATTATGAAGCAGTAAATTTTATATAAATTCAAACTGTCTCACAAAATCAAAGAATGAAAACCACAGACAAAAGAAAATTAGGACAATATTTATCAGAAATAGTAAGAAGAAAAAGCTTTTGGTGGGGATTCTAAATTGAAGTCCTCAGATTTGGCCACTTTTAACTCATCTTCTCTTCCATTTATTTAGTTTCATTCTCTAATTCACTTATTTGCAGAGTCTTGAAGTTAGAAGAATCATCAGTCCAATCTCTGTCTCAATATAACAATTTATATTCCATTGGTGGCGAGTAACAGCTCAGTGGTTAAGAGTATAGCTTTAGTACTGGGGATATGACTTTTATTATTATGTGCCAGGCAGTGAAGATATAATATTAGTATAATTTGGTGTCTGCCCTCAGAAGGGTCATAGTCTTGAAAAAATTGCAATGTTATATAATTGCTATACCTTATTAGAAAAAGAGATAAGGTTTCATGAAAGGCTTCACAAAGGAGGGTACTTTAGAGTTAGGTATTAGGATGATTTGGAAGCTCAGGTAAAGTGAGGAAGAACATTCTAGATAGAAGGGCAGCATGTGCAATAGGTAACATTCTCTCTTTCCAGCTTTATAAGTGATTCTGTGATATTTGAGAATTTAGTGAATACTTGAGCTTTATATTTTTATAGTTATCAATATCATTTATTTCTTGTCTGAAAAATATGAATGCTTTTAATGAGCCTCATGTCTTCCTATTAGAATCTCACTCCCATTCTTTCTCTCCCTTCCTTTTCTTTCTTCCTTCTCCTCTCTATTCCCCTTGTCTAGTGGGGTCCCATGGAGCCACTGATGGAAGCCACGTTGCCTGGGCATCGGACCATGAACCCTTGTCCTCTTTGGGAGCAGAAGAGTGGCTGTGTGTACCTGTTCTTCATCTGCGTGCAGGACCACATCACTGAGTTTCACCAGATTGTGTCAGGCAGGAATGCTGCCCGCCTCTGCCTCATCTGCAGCCAGGATGCTGGATGCTCATGGAGTGAAGTAAGAGACTTGACTGAGGAGGTCATTGGTTCAGATATGGAGCAATGGGCCACGTTTGCTGTGGGTCCAGGTCATGGCATCCAGCTACAGTCAGGGAGGCTGATCATCCCTGCATATGCCTACTGCTTCTCTCACCGGTTCTTTTGCTTCCCGCTGACATGCAAAGCCAGACCTCATTCCCTGATGATCTACAGTGATGATTTTGGGATCACATGGCACCATGGCAGGCTCATTCAGGACCTGGTGACAACGGAGTGCCAAGTAGCAGAGGTGACCAAGACAGGTGGTCACCCTGTGCTCTACTGTAGTGCCCGGACACCAAATAGGTACCGGGCAGAGGCTCTCAGCAGTGATTGTGGTGAACACTTTGAGGCACAGGCCCTGAGCAAACAGCTTTGTGAGCCCTCACATGGCTGCCAAGGCAGTGTAGTGAGTTTCCAGCCTCTGGTGATCCCAAATAGAAGTCAGAACTTTAGTGACAAAAGTTCTCCCTCCATTCAGCAGAGCCCTCCGCTGGACAGTTTATTGAAACTGGAGGAAGTTGCTGGAACACCATCAGAAACATGGCTTTTGTACTCACATCCAACCAGTAAGAAAAGGAGAGTTGACCTTGGCATCTACCTCAACCAGAACCCCCTGGAGGCTGCCTCTTGGTCCCACCCCTGGATCTTGCACAGTGGGCCCTCTGGCTACTCTGATCTGGCTGCTGTGGGGGAAGAGGGCTTGTTTGGGTGTCTGTTTGAGTGTGGAACCAACCAGGTGTGTGAGCAAATTGCCTTCTGCCTATTTACAGACCAGGAGATCCTGAGCTATGTGCAGAAGGACTGACCAGCCCTCATAGGAACCTGTGCCAATTCAAGACTAAATAATTAGCTGAGGGACCTAGCTTTCTATAGAAGGGAGAGCAGAGGTTACTGATGTCTATAGAGAATGCAAAAAATTCAATATTTTGCTTCCTAACAATTTTTCACTTCTCCTCCAAAGAGCAAAATGAAAATTTTGCCATAGCTATTGAATCCTAAAGATCACTGAACTGGGAGTTGGGAGACCATGATGTCATTCTGGCTCTGCCACTGACCTGCTTTAGGACCTTGGACATGTCACAGGAACTCTCTGGGCCTCAGGTCTCCCTCTATAAAATGAGAGGAGTGGTTCTGTGATTTCTTGTCTTCCCATTACTAGGAGAGGCAGAATGTCTGCATGCTCCATGATCAGCAAATTCTGCTGCATAAAGTACTCTGATCTTCACATGGAAATCAGAAGATTTCTGTTTTCAGTGACTCCTCATATAGATATGAGGTTATGTACAGGTATCAAGGCAAGAGCTGGATAGTTTGTTCATTTTTTAATAACAAAACCACCTTTTGTCTTCTAATCCTGCACTGATCACTGCATGCTCTCTATCCAAGAGAAATGAAACAAGTCAGTAGAATCATGAAGTCACTTACCTTCTCCAGCTTTGCAACTTTGCTCAACCTTCCCTCTTCACCTAGAAAGCAAATTTCCTAGGGAGAAAAATGAGAAGCTCAATGCCAGCAGCCCTTGACAGTGGTGATTATTGCTTCTGATCCCAGTACCTCTATGGAAAATGATCCTAAAGTTCATTTAACTATTTAGGATGGTCCCTGTTGGGAAAAAAATATAGGTTAGAACTTTAAAACATTGGACAAGCTGGGCATGGTAATGCTTGCCTGTAATCCAGCCACTTGGGAGGCTGAGGGAGGAGGATCTCTTGAGTCTAGGAGTTCAAGGCCAGCCTGGGCAACATAAATGAGACTCTATCTCTAAGACAAATCTACAAGAAAAATGGACAAAACTTCCCCTCCTTAGGAGCTGACAATTTATGGAGCTAGAAGAGGGATAAAATTTGAGGGAAAAATGCTGCTGGTAGATAGTTTGTAGATGTTGGGCTATAAGGTGGGGTGATGGTAGCTCCTGATGTCATTGCGTTAGTTGCATTTTCAGTAGACTTAGAGTCATCTGTCCAAGCTGCTGGGTTTCCCCAAGTTTGTTTTACTCGGAATGTTATTATAGCCCAGCTACTTCTTTACTCATGGAATTGGGCTTCATCATTAGGAAGGTCTTTGGACTCCCAGACCTCTGAATTGGGACAATATGTTTGGATGTACTAGAATTAAACATGTGAAGTAGGGATGCCTTTCCATCTGATAGCTTTGAGGCTGAACTTAGCCAGTGCTGGGTTCTCAGATGATGACAGGTTGCTGTTGTGACAGGAATTCTATTGTGAAAGATTTATTTTTGTTGCTATTATTATCCCTATTTTAAGAACATAGTGCCTTAAATGAGTATACTTAGAACTGGGTAATGACTATGGAGAGTAAGTTTTGTCATAAAATATGGTGCCAGGCTAGGCTTGCAGTTACACCAGTCACATGGATAACAGTCCCACAGAATGAAAATAGAGATTGACTCTACCTACTTCAGCATATTGTTTAAGACTGTGGCTTAAAGTGGTTTAAAAATTCCCTTAGCCTCTCATACTTTTGCCAAAATAACTTTTCTAAACAAAGTTCTGGTCATTCACCCACTCATGTACACCTTTGTCTCAATCTTTCTTGAGTGGCTATGCATAATGTAGGGTACATTCTGCTGCTCTTTCTAGATTCAAAATTGTGACTTACCATTGATTACTGAAGGATGTGTACATTTAGCCTCACATAAAGGACCTTCCAGTTTTGGGGTAAAAGAATGCATAAATACTTCCTTATATGAAGCCCAGTGTCAGAGAGGACTTGTGTAAAATTAGCAAATGAAGGGTGGTGGGGGTCTAGGAATGGGCTGGATTGGGGCACAGGGAAGGACTGGGGAAGAAGAGAGAAGTAAAAGAGCACTCCCCTCCTGAGAGGTAGAAACTCCATGGTCAGCACAGCTTTCTTGAGCACTATGCCCTAACTAGACAGGAATAAGAAGGATGGCTAAGTTTATCATGACAGAAAAAGGATGAAAAGAATGAGACTATCAAGACTTCTTTAAGATGATCCAAGAAGGCAGTTGAGGAAGGGACCTTGGTTACATGCATGTGTGAGCCAGAGATGTCTAATACAGTACTTATAAGTGACCCATCGCTGTTGCCCTCTCTTATTCTTTCCCCCTTGCCTCATGTTTGTTTCTCAGTGACTAGCAGTGGAACTCTTGACTGGGAAAGAGCCTATGTGTTTTTCTCAGGAGCTATAAGAAAAGAGTTGGGACATAGGAAATCCAGACTGTGGACTAGAGGCAACAACAAGAGTGGGTGATGGCAGCTATGATGAAGAGTAGAGCAGACATGAGTCCTGGCACTTTTAGGAAGAGAGAGAACATGGCACAGACATGAGGCCAAGGCTAGAGAGATGGTGGGTGATTGCTGCTGTGACAAAGAAATGACAATAGGTTGGAGCTGTTCCCTGAAACCTATGGGAAGGGAGAGAGACCTGCACAGGCCTGCAGCCTGGCCTGCTGAGGAGCTCATCGCAACCCTGTACCTTTAAGCCAACTCAATACGTCCATCTTCCAAGTGACCAACAATGACAGCTGTAGGCACTCCAGCTCTGTGCCAGTCACTCAATACCTGCATGGCCTGGGACCAATGTTGAACTATTGGTACCCTTACCGAGTCCATTTTAACCACACTCAGGCTGATGGTGTAGAAAAGTTAGGGAAGGTGGTAACAGGTGTGAAGAATAAGAAAAAAACTGAAAAGGAGGCCTTTATCTTTAGGTATGAATAGAGGACCATGTAGGTTGTAGCCCTTTGTCCTCAGAAGTCCCCTACCCTGTCCTTTGGACTTTTAGAATGGTTCCATTCAGCACATAAGGCCTACCACTGGAAGAACAGGGCAGCATGGAGGGAGCCTCCCACCCATTCAGACTGTTCAGCTCACTGGTCTCCCCTCAGATGTGGCATAGGTAAGAGACTTTTCACTTTTGTTTGTTGAGTGGGTCACCCTTCGGTTGTAGGATTTGATAACTCTGCTTTGGCCAGGTTCAGCTGCTTAGTCTTCTCCAGTAGGCTCCATTTCTGTGCTACCTGAGCTCACAGACTGAGCCTCCCTTTGATACTTTTCATAGGCTGCTATGTACCATTATCAGTGCTGTGCCCTCTTCAGCCTCTGTTAGGCTCAGGACTCCTTGAGAGCCACATCTGTCTGACTTTTCTCTGTCCTTTTTACCTTGAATCACAATGATTTATCTATAAATAAATGCTTTTTCTATCACATTCTGAATTATTGAAGGTAAGGACTGATTTCCCTCTTTGTCCTCTGTAGCCAGCATAGGGCCTAGAACAGAGTAGAGAGCAAGGAAGATGCTGAATGAGTGAATGAGACAAAAACTCTTGGCCTTTTAGAGCTAATTAAGGAGGCACAGAGAAGATTTTGCATCACTCTGTGGGTTTCACAGCATTCAAAATCTGCTGAACATTCGTGCTAAGTAAGTGTTCTTTGTGCTGACCTGCTTTCCTGTTAGTCACAGTACTTTCCAGAAATGGGCTTTTTTGTGGCCCTGCCTGGATGTCCCAAGAACCAAAGACTGAGCCTAAAGCCAAACTAAAACGAAAGAGTTCTCATTTCACTTGTGTTTCCCCTCTGTCCCTGGTGGGATTCACTATAACTGCCACTCCTTCAGTTGCCAAGGTTCAGCATGGTCTGAGTGTATCTTAGCTCTGTGATGCCAACCACCAGAAATACTCTGTGTGGCATAAAAGCTACTATCACTCTTGGAATCAAGAATAATGAATAAAGAGCTTAATTCTGGTGACTACTGGTTTTTTGTTAAGGAAACTAAAATGATTGTCATCCTAATATATAGTTTGTGCTCAGTTTCTTTTACAAAATGAATTCGAGACAATTTCTTCTTGCTGTAAGAACTTTTACTTTCAGAAAACTTCAGAAATAACCCTTTATCCTTTTACATATTGTCATTTGAACATACTTTCCTGTTGAGGGAAGCAGGAAAAGGATTGCCATGACTGGTTTGATAGCGTGCTAGTACACACTAGGGTGCACAGCATCCCACTGACCTCAGCTCCAGTGACTGTCATTGCATGTCTTTCGCCTTTCGAACACCTTGAACTTATCCTCAAACTATAGCTGAAGAAGTTCCCCCAAAGTGAAAAATTTAAAACTTTTAAAATATTTAAGCAACAAATTTTGTTTAACTCCCAATGTTAACCTAACTTTCTCTTGGTTGTATTTATTCTATTGGGGTGCTTGGATTTGGCCAAATATTTTAGGACAACTCTTTATGTTTTGTCAGTAGATCAATCTGATTTCTTAAATTCATTTTCAGAAGGATTTCAAATGGGCATGTCTTTTGTCAATGTTGAGAATCCCAAAATGATAAAAAATAAGTGAAGCTTAACTGCTCATTTACCTCTTAAAAATAGTTTTATGATAATTACATAAGCATTTAAAAATTGAGATCTATTTTATTTTTGCATGTTTTATTAGATTGCTTAATGACTAGGGCAGTGGTGGCAAATCTATGCCACATGTGCTGCAGCAGGCTCTTTGTCATCATTGAAAGCTCTGAAAGGTTTTCCATCACTGGTCTAGGGGGATTTGGATTTGAGAGGAATGCTTAAGGCTATTAGATCAAGTTTAGTGCCACATTTAGTAAACTCATCTTGAGGGAGGAGTTTAGGGTCTGGCAAACTGGCTGGAAAGTGGGTGTAAAACCTGTCAGTCACAAAGTTCCAGTAGCATGCACAGAATAGTTCCCAACAGATGGCTGCCATTGATCTCTCGGCCACTGTGCTCTCTTTCACAATGGTCCATTCTCATCCTGTAGAATGTAGTTTTGGTTGGCCCAAATTCACTCTGGAGAGCATGTTTCTTTTCTTACCTTTAATAAATGTAAAACCTCACAACCTTTTGTGGCTGGCTTGACCAATTCTTTGTTTGGAACAGAAAGAATCTAGAGACCACCTCTAGAAGGAGACTCCAGCACCCCAAAACCTGGTAACATCCAATAAAATTTCAAAACCTCTTAACTTTTAAACAATAACAAATTTGATTAAATCGCCTTAAACACCAATTATAAATTTAGTAGAACTGATCCTTTTGGACCTTACAAACACCATAAATAGTAGATAAAACAAAATTCAATTGCTATAAAACTTAGCCTTATACCAAAATGGAATACAAAAGGGCTGATCCTTCCTAGGAATTTAATAATAGCAGTGCTAAAAGAAAAAGACCGCTGAGGAAGGTACTCCACAACAGATAGTCACCTGAGCAAACTACAGGCCCAATGATTTTGACTAACCTCACTTTTCCCTGGAACTTTTTCTCCCTAAGTATGAAGAATGGCCCAGCTTGGTCATGGAAGAGACCCCAAGCAGTTGGGAAGTGACTTAGTTTGAGTTATCTCTGTCCTCTGCCCATCACAAGACCAGTTTATTACAGTATAGGAAAGAAAGGTCCAAGGTGAATAACATTTCTAAAGTGCCTACTGTATCCTTTGAGTTATGCAAACATTCACTTAATTCAACAACTCTCTTTTGGGGATAGGAAATCTAGATTCAACAATGTTACACAATATATTCCAATGTCACAAATATTAAGGGATGAAGACAGATCTGGTTCCAAATTTGTGTTTTTGTCATTCAGCAAAGAAGAGGTAAAAGTGAGGTGATGCTTATCTTGTGGCTTTGTATGTGGCCCTTGGCACATTAGGGGCATTCAGCAGTTGGCGAGAGGTTTACGATGATCCCTGTAATGCTGTGTCTTACTAGTTACCTCTCAAGCCAAAGGTCTTATCCTTATATTTTATCCAAGAGAACTGTATTAGTTTCTGTCATTGGGAGCCCAGGTCTAGCGGAATTACTTTCTAATGTCCACAACCTTCAGAACAGCTGCCTTCCAAACATAGATTTTGTTGTCATCAACTAGGAATAGAATGAGAAATGACAGCATGGCTTCCCTTAAGGGGTAAACACAGAACTTGATAGCAGGTGAAGCTGACTTAGTGCTAAGTAGGAAGGCCAGAGGCCTGCAGACATAGGCAGCTCTGATCCACAGGTTGGAGATAAATTTTGTTTTGAGTCTCAGCCAGCAATGTTGTGCTGCCTCTGTCTTTCCCCTCTGGGCCAGTCTCCAGAACTGCATCCAGTGGTCAAGCCTGAACTCCCCAAGTAATGTGGACAGTTCTCTACATATTCTCACTATATTTACAACAACCAGTGAAGCAAAGCATTATTGTTCCCATACTTCAGATAAGGAAACAATATTGGAAAGGCTGAGTGACTTGGGCAAGTATCTTTATAGTGTCTTCACTTGTAAAAAGTAGAACAATAAAAGTATCTCAAAGGATTGTTGGATAAAGTGAGGTAATGTTTTTGTTTTTTTTGTATTAAATTCTTTTATTGGTACATTATAGGTATACAACACAATTACATTTCTCATTGGGAATTGAACCTTTATATAATGCATCTTGGTTCTTATTTTTTCCCCATTCCTAGCCCTCCCTTCACTCCCTCCACCTTTCTC